CTAGAATGGAGGAATATATGATCCCTTATCTAAGGACACGCGTATCTAATAGGATCAGAGTTGACAGCGGCTTTGGAAAGCTACGATTGCAGATCAGGATTTGAAGTCATACGCATAATAGTTATTAGACTTATCCAAGTGGGAGACTGTTGGATTAGTGTTTAAGTCCATAACTATTTTGGTATGTACTTGACCCGATGGTGCATGGTCCTTTTGGGTTGTCTTCACCAAAGCAACTTGATTGGAGAAATAAATAAAGAGAGAGAGGTTATTATGATTTATTAATATGTTATAAGAATAATATATTAAAGGAGAAATCATATTTGTTTAATTAATATTGGTCAATAATTAATTAGGAATTAATTTTGTGATCAAGTGTAATTAATTAAACTAGAGGGGCTGATTTGTAATTATGTGATAGTTACAAAATAAGGTAAGGATTGTCTTAAATATAGGGTGAACGAATTTGAGGTGATAAGGCCTTAGAATTCGACTATGATAAGGATTCAAGGATTATCTTATGGGTTGCTTTGTGGATAAGCAACTAGATAAGGATAATGACTGAAACCCTATCTCTACACCTATATAAAGACCCTAAGGCTCATGAATTCGTGTATCCCTTCCCAAGAAGTCCTAAGGACGAATTCTAACCTTTCTCCTCTCTCTTTATACCTTCTCCATTTGCTCTTGGTGTTTGTAAGCCATTAGAGGAGTGACACTTGTGACTCTAAGCATTCCAAAGTCAATTCAAGGAGATTTAGGATTGTTATTGCTATATAACAATCAAGGTATGTTCTTCAACCCATTCATATGTTAATATCGATTTCATATACTAGAATTAGGGTTTGTAATCTTGGATTCAAAGCACGTACAATAGAGAAACCTAGATCCAAGCATTAGGGTTTGTATGAGCACATAGGATGTCTTATGACCAAAACCCATCACAACAATGGAACTCTAAGCCTCATAATGCTCAAAAATAGAGTTAGATGGATAGTGTTTTGCTTCTGGCTGTGAGTGAGCAGTAAGGAGGCTGGGAGAGAGGCTTAGTGCTCTTTAAACAAGGCACAAAAACCCGGATTTAGGGTTTCCCAAACCCTGAACAACTCGTTGAGTAGCTCTCCCCGACTCATTGAGTAGGTCCTTCCACCCTCGTCCTAATCTTGCTTCTACTCGTCGAGTTACCCTCCTTGGACTTGCCTAGTAGACCTTCTTTGACTTAGGGTTTTCTTCCTTTAATTAACCTTATGGATTCCGAGTGTTACAATTTAATATATATATATATATATATATATATATATATATATATATAATCAAGCAAAAGTCATAAATCTTTGAAGTGTTCAAAGAATTTCAAAACTAAGTAGAGAATCAACTGGGCAGAAAGACCAAAATGCTTCGATCCAATAGGGATGGTGATTATTTAAGTCTTGAATCTATGATTATCTTAAGAGTTGTGGAATAGTTTCACAATTGTATCTTCCTAGAACACCACAAATAAATGCTTATGTTTCCAAGTATATTTATGATATATTGAAAAAGATTATGTTCCATGTATGGCTTATGACATGTTTGAAAAGCTTAAGTTTCCGAGTATAGCTTATGATATGCTTGAAAAGCTTATATTTTCAAGTAAAGCTTATGATATGTTTGAAAACCTTTTGTTTTCAAATAAAGTTTATAGCATGTTCTAAAAGTTCTATTTTCCAAGAGTAGCTTATGATATGTTTGAAAAGTTTATATTTTCAAGTAAACCTTATAGTATGATTAGAAAGGCTTTATGTTTGAATTAAAGGTTTAAGAGCAATGCTTTCCTATGAAAGTTTTATTCTAGTTTTCTTTAGAAGTAAGAATTATATGATGAATTGAAAAGATATCGTGTTTAAAACCAATATAGTTCACAAGACATAATTGTCTTACATATTGTACTTTTAATGTCATGTATTTTAGCTTTATGTGCCAAATAGTAGAAGAACTTAGTCCTAGATTATGATTAATAGCTTGAATATATACACTATTAAATGAAGTGAAGCTTTGTAGTTAAACTACTTACCTTTGAACTAGTTTGTATTTATGATTTGCTTTGTTATGGTTTGCAATGATATGAAGTTGTAACCCTCATAATGTTTTAGTATTTTATATATTTTTTTGTGGGACCATATTTTGCTAAACTTGAAATTTTTTGTCAAATGATGTTTTAAAACTAAGTTATTTCAAAGGTATAAAATTGGGGTGTTACGGGGAAGGTATAATACTAAGTTATTTCATCGGTTTTCATTAGATTTTGGAAACCTTAGGAGAAAACCAATGGTTTTAAATCGAAACCGATTGTGGAGAAATTGGCATGTCTCGTGTGGATAACACATAAATCAGTGTTTTTTAGGATTCATTTATGTCATAGTTATCCCAAAACCATATAAATCGATAACATATCGGTTTGGATTAAAAACACATGCAAAAGGATCTGATAATCATGAAAAATGAGATTTTTTTTTTTGAAAACCACAATAGCACGCGATAAAGTTGCTGGTGCCAACATGGATTCCAACGCCAATATGGATGGATATTCAACCTGGATGGAGACTGTCCGAACAACCCTCTCACACATCCCATAACAATTAGACTTGGTTTGTGTTAGGGGGGTAGTTATAATATTTGTTTGCCCAATGTTACTATTTTGAACATGGAGTGTCAATTTTTGTTTCTTTTTTATGTTTTAAGCATTGTAGTAGTATCCAAAACTATTGTATGCAAACTTAGCTACTTTTTGGTGATTAAAGCTTGTAAAGTGAAACTGAAAGCAATTATTCTTTGTTGAAATATAAGGTAAGTATATAATATTTTCTAAGCATCCGTCCCCTAGATATGTTTTTGGTTTTAATCGGTCCGGTTTTCGGTTCCTCCAATTAGTCTTATTTGGTTTTCGGTTTAGGGATGAGCATTTGAACGAATACCCGAAATGGAACAGAAACTTGAACCAAACCAAACTGAATTAGGACCTAATAAACTATCTGGTTTGGTTCTCATGTATGTATTTTAGGCTTATTCGGTTATTGGGTATTTTCGTACGGGTTACTCAAATAACTGCTTAATCAGTTCTAAAGGAACCGAACCCAAATAAGCTATCCATTTTTTTTTTTTTACATTTCAGCATGTTTGCATAATTTTAAGGCAACTTTGAACTATAACGCCTTCGTTATTTGCCCGATTTGCCTGATTTTTTTCTAGCTTTTAGTTCATAATTTAACACACTCTTTACACAATTTATAAGCTATTTTTTGTTATATACTCAATAAGATACATGCCCTTAAAGAGGGGGTATTGAAGTTGGGTTTTCTATTTCATCATGTTTACAAAATTTTATGGCAATTTTGAATTGTCATGATGTCTTTGTTATTCGTTCGATTTGCTTGATTTTTTTTTCTAACTTGTAGCTCACAAACTAAACTACTTTTTACATGTACTTTTTGGTTGTATATTTAATGAAATATAGGATCTTAAATAAGGGGTATTATAGTTGTTTTTTAACGTGACATTTACTTTATTCTAATACCTTAAGTAATTACAAAAACAACCCTCTAAATTAAAAAATTTTAAAAAAAAATAAAATCCCAAACAATACGGTTTATTCAGTTCTTAATCATATTGTAAATGTTATTCGAATAATAACTGAACCAGACCGATTAATACATGAACACGAACCGGACCCGTATTGGTTTAATCAGTCCGGATTTCGGGTCCTCCAATTAGTCTTATTCGGTTTTCGGTTTATTTTGGTCTGGTTCGGTTCGGTGTGGTTCCGGCCCGAATAACATCCCTAGCTGGTTGTGCATATAATACGTGTAGATAGTTATATAATATTGCATGATATCTATGATGATTTATCTTTGAAGTTATTAGGCTGAGGGGGTGGTGTAGAGCTCACCGAGCTCCACCTCAGCTCCAACAAGGAAAATGCAAGACTGAAAGAAGAAAGGGAGAAGAGGAGGGGTGGTCGGCCGAGTTAGGAAAACGAAAGGGGGAAGAAGAGGTCAAAGAAGGGAGAGCTCGGCAGCTGGTCGTCGAGTTTGGCAACCAAACTTGACATGCCAAGTTGGTGGCGCGGTGTGTACCGAGGCCAACTCGGATATGCCGAGTCCCACTCCGTCCCGTCTTATAAAGATTTACAAATGAAGATGTTTCAAAATCATGTAGGTGAGTAGTTGGTTGTTATTCATGGTTGATTTTGATTCAGGAACAAAGTCTCAAATCCAGCCATTATATCAAGACATATAGATAGAGAGAATCAACTCCAACCATTACATCATACATTCATACCCTAAACAAATGCATAAATATTATCAAAACCACACACAATACACTAAATTCCACACACTATTACACAGCAAATAGACATGAAAAAGACGTCATCTTGCCCATAATTATGGTCATAACATACAAAGAAAGATCAAGGGATTATTGATGATCATACATGCGTATAAATGGTAGAAGCAAAGAAGAGGTCTATATCTGGAGGATTAAAGAAAGCCGTGGTTGTTGTATAACTCGAAACAATCCTTTGTTTCTTTGGAGCCTTGGGACACGTAAGATTCTCTAGTATTCTATACTTGTTTGCTTTAGGGGTTGTACACTTATCATCCATCGTCTTCTTCACCTTGCAGCTGTTCCCTGTTGAGGAGGGTTGTTGCAGGTTTTATGAGATGAAGACATGAGCAAAAAGTGGGTTTTAGTTGAGTGTTCTGAAGCTAGAAATGGTTAAAGTAAGAGTCCAACGGAAGTAATAACTGGGAGAAAGAAAGATAACCATTTGTAGAAAAAGAGATGAAGTTCTTTGACTGGTATAAAAGCAGCAGATATGTATGAGATAAGATCACTGAGTGCTTTTCAAAACCCATAAGAAACGCTTCTAGTGCTGGTTGAAAGTTGAACCCCTTGATCATTGAGAAGAAAATATTTTATAGATTCGATATGAAACTGTAAATAATCTTTTTAGTCTATACAACTTTAAACATTTATAATTAAATATCTAAAGAAGATTACTACAAGAATGTAATACTTAGTTTATAAATAATGATATTTAACAAAAATAATAAGCTAAAAACAACCCACATTTCAATTATTACAAATTACAACAATATCAACCACAAATCAACATACAAATTACAAAAACAATTTCCCGCCAATACTTGAGTAAAACTCAAAACATCAACATTCACTTCACGTAGAAAAATCCCCAAAAGTCATTGATTGCCCAAGTGCTGTTCTTACACGAAGCTGCAACACAAAATAGCAACCAATAAACTTATATATTTTTTACAAAAATAAAAAATAAAAAATAGTTTACTTTTCATATTTTTTACCTTGACATCCAAGCATGGATCATTAACCATGTTCTTTAACTGTGAAACAACACCAGCATTTCTTAATTTGACAACTCTTGCTAATGCACCTGCCCCAGTTGGAATAGTAAGATTTACTACAGTCCATACAACAGCTGTTCTCAAACTTGCCACGTCACTTTGCAATAAAGTCACAATTATTGACTGATTATTATCATCTTCATTCACAAGTTGCTGCATCACTGCTTCCTTCTCAAACTCTTTCCCAGATGCCACATTACACATAACATACATTGCCTGTCACATACAATAAACAAAACCCCAAAATTTGACCACTTTACCCTTTATGAACACAAAAAAAGGGAGCCCGATTTAGGAACAATAACACTTATTTAACCTGAACCAAAACTTGAGGTTTTGAAGCTCTTCTTAATTCTCTCCCAACAGTGTTTAGCAAAAGACCTTCAGTGAATAGATACATAATAGAGTCTACAGGTCCATTCACAAGATTGCAAACAAGCCCTAAAGCTTGCTCTTGCACACATGCATTGGAATCTGATACACAAAAAATAGCAACGTACTTTCATTTATCTGTTTAATTTCATAAGAGGGATAAAGGAAAGCAGGATGCTTTAATGAAGAAAGGAAAGAAAGTAGGTTGCTATTTGTTGTGTATTACCAGAGATGAGTCGTGTTAATGGGAATAATTTGAGGTCCATAAAGATTTCTTCTTTACACCTGGAGTCCACAAGAAACATCAAGTTTCTCAAAGCCCAAACAGCATTGAGCCTAACAGTTGAATCCATGGATTTTGATAGCTCCACAAGCTGTTTCACACCTCCACTTTGTATAAAAAGTGACTTGTGTGTTCTAAAATCAACCACCAAGTTACTCACAGTGCATAGTGCAGCAACCTGAAAAGTCAAAGTTTCGGTCAAAGTTTCTAGATTCTTTTTTTCTTCTTTGGGGAGGGGAGAGGTGGCCTTACTTGGACAGAAGTAGAAGCATCATATAGAAGCTGAATCACTGGCATGATAACTGCGTCTGTCATAAAATGACCTGCACTCAAATACTGAATAAATAGTTTTAGCAAAAAAAAACAAAAAATTAGGGTTTATAACTTTATAGTTTATATAATAATAATAGTTCAAAAGCACGAACCTTAACTGAGCGGGAAACATTTTTCAAACAGATGCAAGCAGCAACACGAACATCTATTGTAGTATGAGTTAAAGCATCAGTTATGATGATCAAAGCCTGTAGAAATGAATCAAGAAAAGGAAAATAAGTAGAATGTTAAAAAAAATGAAGTAAGAAATTCTATTCTTTATACACAAACCTTGGGTGATTGCAAAACAATAGATCTGCAAGGTTCAAGATTCGAGCAAAGATTACCCAAAGTTGTAAATATTCCCTCAAGGCGTTTGGCTTGTAATGATTCTTTTTGCATTTGGTGACAAAGTTTGTCAACTGTATTCGCCTCAAAAGCTAATTTTTGTAGATCCTCTTCATGTTCTATGAAGCTAGATAATGTAAACAAAGCTTCATCTCCCACTTGACCAAAATCATCAACAAGTTCAAGTAAAACCAGAATCAATTTGGTTCTGATTCCCACTGATTGAAGATATGATGATGATGATGAGGTGGCATTCTTGATTAAAGTCAAGCATATGCATGCTAGTAATCTTGTTCTTGGGTACCTATCTTTTGTTAACTCTAGTAAACTACCAAATGTTGTGCTGTTTTCGGGTCCCACAAATTTAGTAATGACTTCGGGATTTTGTTTGATGATTGTGGCAAATGATTCCAGGCTGGATTCTCTCTGAGATGTGGTGCCTTGAAGAAGGTTGATGAGTTTTTTTAAGACTCCAGCATCTGCTAATATTTTCTGCTCATTGTTTGTTTCACATGAATGTGTGATGATGCTTGCACCAAGTCCAGTTACATTTTCATTGTTTTTGTCTAATAAAGATATGAGGAATTCAATGTTTTTGTGTTGGAAGAAGTCGTATTTAGGAGCAGCTTTTGATTGGTATATCATTTTAAGGGCACGAGCACCTGCATCTACAACCTGCAAGATGCATTTAAAGTTTTGAGAGGTGACACACTTGTTTAGCTCTAAATTTATTGTAACAAAAGCTAGATGATATACAATATAAAGGTCTAGCCACAAACAGCTCATACATCATAATGATGTCTTCATACACTAAACTAGCCTTATATCAACCTGCTGGATCATAATCAACATATGCATTTGGACACTATGAACCACAGCCAAGCAATCTGATCAGATTAAAAAGTGCAGAAGAATTTTATGATCTTGAAGTCTCGGACTCTCAGTTCATTTAACAAGTTCCAAAAGTAGCAATTTCGAATAGGAGTTACAAAGAGAACTGCAGTTTATGCCTATTAACCTAGCCCTAGTCGATTAGGCACGTTAATTGCTAATGTTGGCACTGTTATGCCAAGTAAAGGAACCTTTATCCATCTTTTATGGTAACGAAAATTCAAAACATTAATGTTAAAGGAAATCATGTCGGTAACAGTTTCATATGGATTGGGTAAAAGATAACCTTTTCGTTCGAATGCGAAAGGAGATTTATAAGGTGAGGAAAAGCTCCGGCATCTAGAACGGCCTTAACACCGGCATCCACCCCGCACGCAAAACTGCCGATGGTTGCGGCACACTGGATGAGGAGGCAATCGACTGAAGAGGAAGCGGATGAGAGAATCGAGACGACGGAGGGGACGGCACCTAGCTTGATGTACGAGAGCTTCTTCGTGCGATTGCCAATTATCTGGTTCTTAAGTTCCCTGAGGACCTTTAATTTGGCTTCTCCGCCGTCTGCAGCGGCGGAGCGAAGCCGCTCAATTAAACCCTCAGGGCGGTGAGTCGTCGACGCTGAGCCTGGCATGGTCGTTGGACGACGGCGAATGTCATACGCGCCGCACCAACGCGTGTCTATAAGCGCGTTAGTGTGATTTAGAAAGAAATGAGACTTCAATCATCATTTGTCACAAAGACATCGAGCATTTGGTCTCTTTTTGTTATCGGATGAATGTGATCAACCTAAATATTGTTTCGCTAAATTTTACTCCAAAATAGAATCCACAATCATCCAGCTTTTTTATTTTCTATATTAAACAAAAATCCAATGATTTTTTAAGATTTACCTACGAGCCTTTTCTATTTTGCAATATGGGATAGAAAAATCTCATTAAATGGAAATAATGAAATTGTTGTAAGTTTTATTACAAGTTATATAAAGTTTATAAATAATAAACTTAAAAATTGATATGTAAACTTTAAATCTAACTGCAAATTGCAAAAATGGTCCTTATGGTATGCAAATTTTTAGAGTTTTAATCCAAACCCCGGGTTTTTTGGATTTATGGTCCTTTTGGAATGGTTTGTACGTGGAATTGGTCTTCGGACTTAACTCCCGTTAAAAAGGATTTGTTAACACCCTCATGTGCCTCACAAATGAGGGTATATCCGTCATTTCATATGTAAGGGACCATTTTTGCATAAACATTTTTTGTCTTAATTTTTGTTAAAGATCCCCACTGTTGCTATCTTCTTCCCCAACGTCTCTTTTTTTCTACACTTCTTCTTGTTGAGCTTTGTTACAACAAAAATGGTTTTATATTTTTGTGGAAAAGTTGTTGTGGTGAAAAAGTCTTGGACCCTTCTGAATCCAGGAAGGAGATTTTTTGCATGCCCTATGAATGATTCCGTTTGTGGGTTTATCGGGTGGCTTGATCCCTCAATACGTGCTAGGTCTAAAGCCATCATACCTGGTCTGCTAAGAGATTTAAACTTAGTGTAGGAACGATGCAATGAGTTGGTTAGAAGTGTGAACATGCTACATGATCAATGCAATGGACAGGTATGCAGGACCAACATGTTGGTGGCCAATTGCAAAGCACTGAAGGATAACAATTTAAAGTTGAAAATGTACCTGATTGGAAGTTGGGTTTTTTTTTTTTGTGATTGTCTTCTTATGTATTTGGTTTGTGTATGGGTTTACTGTGAAATTGTGTTTTGGTATATGAAGGGTATTAGTATGGAAAAAATGGTCCTTTTGTTGTAATTTTATGTCATCATGTTTGTACTGACTTGTGATGTTAATGATATATGTACGGTATAAAATAAGTGTAATTATATGAATGTATTACCAAGATGGTATGAATGTATTACCAAAATGGTATGAATATATCATAATTAAAATGGCATGAATATATTACCAAAATGTATACATTAGAACCAATTGTACATGACCAAAATGCACATTTCATTAAGATTCGTAACATAACAACCAAAGTTTCTAAACATAACAACCAAAGATTCTAAACATGACCAAAAGGGACATACTACCATATATAAGATAACAACCAAGTTTTCATAACAACCAACCAAAAGTTTTCAACAATATAGTGTAGACATAACAACCAAGTTTTCATAACCAAACATATTCATAGAAAACCTCATGCATAACATATCACTTCTTGGATTGATTCTCACCTTTCCCTTTACAGGTCCTAGAGTTATGTCCGTTGTTCTTGCATTTGCTACAAGTAACATTGATATGCATCCTTGATAACTTCTGCACTCCATCATTTGTTGGTCTTTGGGAACCTCCTTTTTGTGTAGCATTCACTCCATCACCTTGATTTTCCCTCTGCTTTTTGCTTAATCTTTCACCCTCACTTTGTCTTCTTTTTTTCTTAGGCCTTCTCACCTGAGTGCGATGTGGATAAGGGATTAGCTTTGTGGGACATTCACTTTTAGGCTACATGGATCTCCCCTTAATTAGCTCCACCTTAAATGAATAAGCTTTTTTCCATGTATCTAGAAAATACACCTTATGAACCTATTTGTAAATGTCAAGCTCGACCTCTGGGTCTTTTGCTCATTTCATTCAAAGTTGTAATTGCATGTTTACATGGAATTCCAATTAATTCCTATTTTCTACAAGTGCATGTTTGGTTCCTAACATCCACTACATGTTGATCCTGCAAAGCTCCTATGACTTGATACTTGTCTCCCTCATTCCACCTAGCAATGTATTGTGAAGCGACTGTTTTTCTTGCAGCTAGGATGTTTGTTGTTGTGGTTGTTAGTGAACCTTTAACCCTTTTCATTTCCTTCATGACATTGCATATCCTCTTCATTAGATACTCCCTTATGTATTCTAAACATCCAATGATAGGTTTATTACTTCCTTTGTCTATCTTCCCATTAAACACTTCACATGTGTATGATATCAACAGATCAGAGACTGCTCTTCCTGTTGTATATTACCATCTAAAAACAGTTAATATAATTAATATACAAGTAAAACAATTCACTAAGTGAAAGACATAAGGACCAAATTGGAATATATAGAATTATCTAAAAAAAATGACCCATTTCCCGGTGTGTAGGAGTAATTTGCTTCAACCATTCGCATGCCTCCTTATCATACCGACTAAACTCCTTCATCAAATGTCCAAACTCAATAATGGTGGTAGCTGATGCACACCTCCATAAGTGGTCCCTATACTCTGTTTGCCTCCACCTCTTTCTCATATTGTCATGAATATGCCTGATACAATATATATGCTCAGTATTGGGAAACAACTGATCAAATGCACTTTGTAAACCTACATGAAACAATTGTCAATAATTAAAATTGATTAAAAACGACACATCTTAAATGACCAAATGTATAAATTTGCTTTACCTTGTGTCTGTCACTTATGAAAGTAAAATTTGAGTTTCTTCCAAGGTCCAAGTCATCCCAAAGGTTTTCTAAAAACCACTTCTAGATTTCTGTGTTCTCATACTCAACAATCCCATATGCTAATGGGTAAATTCCATCATTGGAATCAAGACCAACTGCTGAAAGGACTTACCCAGGGAATGGTCATTTCATGAAGGCACCATCAAAACCTAATGAGTCCCTAAGGCATGCCTTTAAACCTTTTTGAAGTGGACCCAAACACACATAAATTATTCGAAAATGCCTGGTTGGTGAACCAGGGTTAGGCTCAGAACATACATCTATTTTTCACTGTGGTGTCTGGGTTGGTAGCTTAAAGTTCGAGAACATAGTCCCTAAACAGTTCAGACTGCTTTGTGTGGTCCCCATTTACATGCTTTCTTGCCTTATCCTTTGCCCTAAACACCTTGTCCATCGAAATACCCACCTGGTAAGTCTTTTGAAAGTGATTTTGTATGGCTCTCAAAGGTATATCTGGATTTTCCTCAACTTGATCAAGGATTTTCTTGCTTATTAAAGAAGCAGTACAAGCCATGAGTTTCCTTGTTTTCAAACATGTGTGAGTTTGGTTTAAGGTCCTTATAAACCAATCAGATTCATGATTTGATCTAGATGCATGAATATACCAACCACATGTTTACTTTTTGTGTTTTATACTTCTTTACCCGTTTCTTTTTAAAGTGTTAGCTTGACTACCCACTTGGCTTTTATTGGTGACATATATGTACAACTCCTTTACATTGTGCCCTAAGTCTTATATTGTCATTTTTTTAAGAAAATATTCTTTCTTAATTATAGTGCTTACACATCAATTGCCTCTTTTAATTCTTTTTTTTTTACTTTTAAATTTATCTCCAACTGAAAATGATTGTTTATGTACTGCCCCAAGGTTGCACCTTTTTCTTTTCTTAAATTCTTGAATAGAGCTATTCTCTCTCTGTCTTGGTCAGATCCTTCATCCAAAGATTTGAATTCCTCATTGTTGATCACTTTCATATCTTCATATTCATACCCATGAACACCAATTATACATGATCCTTCCATACCACTTTCAACATTGAGAATAAAGCCCCCCATGTCCACATCCATTTCTTGAATATTGTTGTCCACATCCATTGTAACACTCTAAATTTTCAAATAAAATTTTTCATTTTTAATTCCACACAAAACACAGTTTAACATCTCTCATACTCAATTTTTAAATGTTTCAAAACACAACATAAAAACAATTTGTCACATATCCCAAAATCCTCAAAACATGAATCAATAAGCTGGTGTGTACAATCATGCTGACGCCTACCCGCGATCTTGAGATGTACCTAAAACACATTTCACACAACACTGTAAGTATAAAGCTTTGTGAGTTCCCCAAAACACCACACACAAATAATTAGCCTCTCATAACTATATATCGATAAGGACCCTCCGGTCATGTGTCTCGGTGAAGACCCTCCGGTCTCACGGCTCGGGTTGAACCCTCAAGTCCTATGTCTCAGTGAAGACCCTCCGGTATCACGACTCGGTTTGGACCCTCTAGTCCTATCTCAATAAATGCAAGGGATAATATACAACATAAAACACAAAGACATAATACATAATATCACATATCTCAATATAAGCACATAAGACCCTCTGGTCGATAACACACTCACCTCGTAAGTGTTGGATTAGTGTCTAAGTTCATAACTATATTTGGTATGTACTTGATACAGTTGTAGCATAGTCCTTTTAGGTTGCCTTCACCAAAGCAACTTGACCATATGAATAATAGAGAAAAATGTTATTATAGTTTACTAATATATTATATGAATACTATATTAAAGGAGAAATCATATTTGTTTAATTAATATTGGTCAAGAATTAATTAAGAATTAATTTTATGAACAAAAGAGACTAATTAAACTAAGGAGACTGAAATTAAAATTATAAGATAATTGCATTGTGGGTTAAGGAAACCCTAGAGATAGGGTGGACGAATTCTTAGGGATAAGGCCTTAAGAATTTGTCCAAGGTAGGGATTCTAGAAGATTCTTATGGGCTGCTTAGAGCCTAAGCAACCGGATAAGTGTTTGACTGAAACCCTAACTCCTCGCCTATATAAGGACCCTTTTGGCTACCAATTTTCGGCTACACATAACCCTAAGAGTTCTAGGAGCCGATTTTTAGCCTTCCCTTCACCTTCTTGCCTTCTCCAATTGTTTTGGTGTTTGTGATCTATTAAAGGCACAACATTTGAGGTGCGAACGTTCTCAAAGGCTCGAGATCTTCAAGCAACAATCAAAGGTAATGTTCTAACTAGTTTATTAGACATGATTTCGATTTTTGTGATATGCTATATTAGGGTTTTGCAAGTCTTGGACAATTATGCATGTACAATAAGAAAAACTAGATCCAAACATTAAGGTTTGCATGAACACCATAGGAATGTTGTTTTGCTTAAAACTCATCAG